TCACACACTTTTTAACACACAAGAATTTTAGATCACAAAGGAAGATTAGATATAGGTCTATAATTGACCAAAGAATAAAGGGAATGCCTATTAAATGCATGTCAGAGTGCATGAGCCCATTTCTCCTCATGCATGCTGTTTTAAAGTTGCTCATTGCTTCACTCATACAAGCTAACTTTCCAAGAGATTTGCAATTTCTCCTCTATGTCAGAATCACCTCCGTAAATATATCACCAGAATGATTGACAGTTAGGAGGACCACTTGTTTGGATGATCCACCCCGAAAACAAGATCCTCTACTGTACCTTTAAGAGAAGGTGTTGGATTCAGTGCAGCGTTCGATAACGTTCATCACTCGGTTTGCTTAGAGCATCCACATTTTTTGTCTGCTTTCTCCAACATATACTTTTAAATACGCGTTACTCAATATGTTTAAGTTACATTTGAACTCAAATACTAAAGTTAATATAAGTTAATAATGTTGATAAATGACTTAAAAAAAAAGATGTTATTATACGATGAGGTTGACAGCCAGTTACAGACTCCTCTTCGAATATTTGTAATGTTTTCATGATTTTATATCTCTAATGAATGACAGTTATACATAAATCCATAACAGTAACGGTTTATGCTGATCTCTGCCTCCCTCTAGTGGTAGGAAAGCATCAAAGCATAATTTATGTGGCATTAAATTAACCATCAATAAAGGAGAACCTTTAAGATCACAGCATTTCAATCTGTTACTTCTCTGCATTTGGCGTCGAGGTAGTTCAAAGTGTTCAAAGTGTATTTTCTGGTCAAAACGGGAATAAACGGGAGTAATATGCAAAGCTGACGTCTTACGCATGCGTATCGATCCTCGTCAAGTGTGCAATGTTTTGGTTTTTTTAGACTACATTGTTTGGTGGATCTTTTTTATTGTTTTATGCACAAAACTACGACAACAATCTGACTAAAGAGGGAAATAAAACAGCATAATTGGCTATAAGGAGAGCGGAGACGGACGACACTATGTTAGGCGTATTACTGTGGGTATGCTGGTCTGACGGGGTATGCTGGTCTGACAGAAAACCCCGGCGCTTTGGAAATACTGACTGAAAGTCGGAATTATGACTTTGGATCTCATAATTATAACTTTTTATGTGCCATTTTTTTCTTTTCAATTGGCGGAAATGGGCTTCCATATGTTATGATTTTGAAAGTTGGAATTATGACTTTGGATCTCATAGTTATGATTTTTTTGGGGGCTTTTTTTTATTTTCATGTGGTGGAAAGGGGCTTCTATATAATTACGACTTTGAAAGTCAGATTTATGTGTTACAGGTCTGATGGTGTTTTCCCTGTTAATACAAATTTAATCCTACATGATACAGACTTATGGTTGCCGTGTTCAAAAGGGAAAGAAAACTGAAGCAGAGTTAATTTTTCCAATCTTTATTGTATATAAATAAAATACAACTATCTAAACTTTAATAGAAATATTAACATACAGGAAGTGAAAAGAAACTAACGAAATAAATGGAAAGTTGTTAGTCCGCCCTCACAGGTACTCAAAAGAATTCAACCTGAGCGGACTAACAAAAATAACCAAAAGGAAAAATCAAACTTTAAAGGACAGCAGGAAGCAGTTACAACCCTGTCAAAACAAAAATACTAAATTACTAAATGCTCCTTAAAAAAATCAAAACATTCAAAAAAGTCCAACAATATTAAAACACTGCTTACCTGCATCACTTTGAATCTCATAATTATAACTTTCTATCTGCCATTTTATTTCTTTTCATTTGGCGGAAACGGGCTTCCATAGTTTACTTTCGCTTTCCCAACTCGCTGTTGCGCACTTTGTTTTCTGCGCTCAAATCTCCGTCTGAAGGTAAAGTAACCAGTTTTTAAGGTTTAAATAGTTTCTAGCAGCAGGTAGAACTTGATTTCCTGCAGGAGGAGCAGATTTATCTGCAGCTCTAACTCCTCTTTAAGGTTGAGGGGCGGAAATGAGCAGGACCGTTATTCTCATCCTCCATGTTTGTTAGTCTGAGCAGAATGT